ATTTTATTATCACTACTTTTATTACACAGTGTTCTTTATGTTGTTTTCATGATTAAATGTAGCAAAATAAAGTATTTCTAAGGTGACAGAACTTTGTAATACTGGTTTATTTACAGAATGACTTTAATTTCTGGATGTTTGGCCCCTGAGCTGTTGGTCTGTGTTAGCTGTGGCCCCTGGAGAAGCTCTGGTTTACTGAATAAAGTTACAACAGAGGAAATATTGTTTTAATTAAAAGTTAGGATTCTGGCTTTTTTCTTTTGCCACAAATACGTTTTATTCTCTAAAGCTGCATCTTGTCCTTGGTTGTGCAGGAAATCCATAAGAGGGTGATGGCTCTGAGTTTCCGTGACTGTCACACTAAGATCCGACACGTGGACGCACACGCCACCCTGAACGAAGGCGTGGTGGTGCAGGTGATGGGCGAGCTGTCCAACAACATGCAGCCCATGAGGAAGTTCATGCAGACCTTTGTTCTGGCTCCAGAGGTCGGTCCAAGCTGCACGTCTCTCCTCTGACCACTCATTATTTCTGCAGGGTTTGTTTTTACTGAGGGCTCTGTGGTGGTCTGTCTCTCAGGGTACCGTCGCAAATAAATTCTACGTCCACAACGATGTGTTTCGGTACCAAGACGAGGTGTTTGGTGACTCTGACTCTGAGCCTCCAGAAGGTGAGGAATCAAACTCCAGACTTCCTGTTCTGTCACTTGATTTGCTCGTTACTTTGTTGTGCAGCAGTTTAACATGCAGAGAAGTAAATTTTAACTTCTGTTAACTTCAGATCTGTCAGATGAACCTGGACATGTTTCGTATCAGTAGAAACAAAGAGCTAAAAGCTCATTTTTACATTCATCACAGTTCAAAGGTCAAGCAGAATCAGAAAGTAAACAAACTACTAAATGGCATCATTGTGACTCTGTAAATACATTACAACAAATCTGTAAAGGAAACATTTTTGACATTTTTTAAAGCAAGTGAAAATAGATATTAATTGAGCAACGATACAGAAAATTCACGATTCGGTTCAATACTTTAATC